ATTTATACCTTTTAGTGTTATTTATGCATTTTTTAAATTATTATTATTGTTGGAGCCTTGCAATGAAATTTCGCTCAATATCTACATTTTAAATGTTCAGTTGGATGAAAATAAAGTCTCTGTCTGAATGTCAAACATCTGCACATATTTAAGATTTATCTGTGTGTCATTTAGGATCTAATAAGGAAAATCTCATCATATGTAAAACTTTTTAAATAATTGGGATTGAGTTGATTAAATTTAACACATTCATGTTATTTTTAGATGCAGAACTCCAACATTCACAGGTTATAAAAGGGATTGTGTTTCAGATTTTCTGAGCTTAAAGTGAGCGTAGCTTCCTCTACAACCCAAACCAGATTAATATCTGACATCAGACTCACCTTGCGTCCATATGGCACCAGAACAGCAGCCTCCAGTCTCTCACTGTGCAGGTTTTGTGTCCAAGATGGCCGCCGGTTCCTGGGGTCACTGCTGGTGCAGCAGGAAATGAATCATTCAGGCCAATATTTAAGGTTTGCTGTTTTGTTTAGAGTTGGAAATTGTTTGGACCTGAGGACATGTTGGGCTTCCGGGACGTTCAGACGGCCGGACACTCATAAAACCAGACGTAGACTTTTCTATTCGTCTAGAGTGGCAGAAAAATTAGGGTGTTTGTCTCATTTCCTGTTTAGATCTTATGTTGTTGCTTAGAGAAATAACACACATAATACATAATCGATTTTATTGATGAAAACAATGTTTAAGATGCAAGTTTTGAGGTATCTGGATTTTTTTCATCAGTTCATCTCTTGGATTTACATAGTTCGTTTGGAATGATGTCAATGCGCTCAAGGCCGCCATCTTGTTCAACAAACATTTTTTACAACTTCGATTTATGTGGACTTTGAATTCAAGTCAACTCTTCAACAAAACACAAGGCCCAAGATTTTGAGGTGTTTTTACACAAATAAATTCATAATGTTACAAAAATATAGTCGTCGTAGAGTCATGTGACCAGAAAGAAGTCTGAATATTAACTCTGC